AAATTAATTGAATTTTCAAAGACGTACCCACGTACCCGTGTCCGAAATTTGGACACTTTTTAGCCATGTCCCCGTATCTTCCATTTTGAAAAATAAAAGATCCGACACTTAAATGCGTACCCGTACCCGATACCCATACCCGAGTCCGAGCAACATAGGCCGGGACAAATAATTTGAATGCTGAACTGAATCTGAATCTGATTCTGATTCTGGGCACTTGAAGTAGGTTGTAACAATAGGCTGAGCTTCAGATACTCACCACCATCTTAAAGAAGATTCAAGTCCTCTACTTAGGAATATACACAGAAAGCCGATGCAACAGAAATGCTATGATTTGTCCCATTAAGACAGAACGAGTCTCTAAAACTCTCTATTGTTCAAACCAATCTTAAAACATAGGTTCACGTCAAAGCTCTGCCAAAAGAAAACTCTCTGTTGACCAATATCCTTATAAGTATTTTAACAAAAATGTAGTAATGTACTAAGAAGCATGAATTCGAATACGATAAGATATGGATACGTTGATACAATTTTTTTAAGAAACTCTGATATCTGGATACGTGTGTATATATATGTATATGTAATATAAAAAATTTAAAACAGAATCATGATAATAAAAATAAAATAAAATATTAATTCATTTTATTTTAATCTTTAATTATTCCAACTTTTTCTTCAACATCACCGACGTCAGCCTCTTCATTATCATAAAAAATAACAATTTCCAACTCCGAATTACCTAATGATAGTTTAACCACCTCTAGCAACCCAACACCTTCAATAGCATCAAATAAGTATCCGACGATGTCCAGCATTTTAAATTTCCTTTTTGAATAGAGATTTAATACTATTATCTATTTTCAATAATAAAAATATGTCAACTATTAACACGATTTTACATGTATTAAAATATTTAATGCTATTGTATATTTCCAATAAAAAAACTCTTTTATCTGTTTATTAAATTAAAACTCTAGTTGTGTATTTTCAATAAATATTATCTATTTTCAAGAAGTTTTTGATAATAATTATAGTTATCAATTAAGTAATTTTTTTTATCAATCTATAACCAATAATAATGAGTTTTAAAAGAGTTTAAAACTAAAAAAAAGTCTTCGCATGTACTAACATATTCGATAGTATCGGAAATAATTAAAAGATATAAAAGAATTTAAAAACATGTATCTAATTCGTATAAAAAAATTTAAAATAATTAAAAATGCATTTTCAGTATGTATTGGAGCGTATTTGAGAGTATCCAAGTTTGGATAAGTATCGAACACAGGTACATAATGAATTTATAAATATCCTTATTTCTTAAGTAGTGTATATAGAATTTGTGTAGAAATTCATAAAATAAGCCTGAAGAGACTGATCTAGTTGTTCAGCACGGTAAAAACACTTACAGACTTCGTAAATACGTGACACATTCCCTTTCACAGAGTACATAAATTCCAAATACTCCA